AACAAACTACCGAATGAGAGACCACACAGTGGAGTTGTGTATCTCTAATTAAGAAATTGCAACATGTGGAAACCCCAAGATCATATTGGTCGGATGGGTGGTCGCCGTTCGTATGAACGAACACGTGGCGGTGGCCATCTTAGCGCACGAACGCCCAGCAGTGTTTGGTCGTCAAGTGCATGGAGCTAAAATAGGACACTCTACCTTGCGAACACCGCTGGACTTACATCTCGTTCGTTACATAGTCAAGTGGCATTCGACTAAATGAAACCACCGACCTCCAGACAGACGACTACCCAGTTTATGAATATGTGCATTCATCTGTTTTATTCATATGAACTCCTGAAAGGAGACCGGTCAAAGCCTCCAATTGCCTGGAACTAATTTGGGACTTCACCTCGTGGCTGACTGGTCCAAAACTTCACTCGAATGGCTTTTCTGTTCTACCAAACGGATCTGAGCAGTATTTCGACAGATTGGGCACTCAGATCCCAGCTATTCTTTTGTGGAGTTCTGATAAATATTTATGAGTTATTATGTTTTTAAAATATTGTTTAATGTTCTGTACTGGGAGATTATTTAATTAAAGAATTGTTCTTACACAATTACCTTCCCAGTACAGAAAAGGATCATGTGAAATGTAACTTTGTTTCCAGTCTTCCACAAGGTCCAGCAGGGAAAAACCCCTGGAATGTCATTAAGGAAACCCCTTGCATGGGGATTTGTATAAAGCCAGCTGTGGTTCAATAAAAATTCAGTCAACTCCCAAAACTGTGTTTCGTCCAGTTGTTGGGGAATGGGATTGGAATTACTACGCTACCCTTTATTTGTATGCTGATTACGTCTAGCAGCAGAGATATTGTAGTTTACCTTTCTACTCCGCTACATTTCCCATGATCCTTTTCTGTACTGGGAACGTAATTGCGTAAGAGCACTGCTTTAATTAAATTATCTCCCAGTACAGAAAATTAAACAATATTTTAAAAAACATAATAGCTCATAATATTTATCAGAACTCCACGAAAGACATTTCATTGAATAGCTGGGATCTGAGCACTCAATCTGTCAAAATACCGCTCAGATACGTTCGGTAAAACAGAAAAGCCATTCGAGTGAAGTTTTGGACCTGTCAGCCACGAGGTGAAGTCTCAACTTAGTTCCAGGCAATTGGAGGCTTTGACCAGTGTCCTTTCAGGAGTTCATATGAATAAAACCGACAAATGCACATATTCATAAACTGGGTAGTCGTGTGTCTGGAGGTCGGTGGTTTCATTTAGTCGAACGCCGCTCTGTTTGGACGAACGGAAGTACATGTACGAACGAGATGGAAGTCAATCGGTGTTCGTGAGGTCGAGTGTCCGATTTTTAGTTCCATGCATGCGACGACCAAACACCGCTGGGCGTTTGTGCGCTAAGATGGCCGCCACCAGTTGCAAATTCTTAATTAGAGACACACGACTCCACTGTGTGGTCTCATTCGGTAGTTTGTTCAACTTCAATGTGTCCATGTTCTGTTCGTGAAGTCAAAATAAACGATTAGTCTATTAGACCAGATTAGTGTTGGTTTCAAATGGATTGGTGTCTAGAATGTCTGAAAGTGCACGAAACTTAGGGCCGTTAATAAGAAGTCTGGTAGTGGCTGTGGGTTTTTGCAAGCGTTATATTCCCTTTAGAATATTTTTGACGTGAAAGGCACTTAGGATGTGATTTTGTATTCCTGTGAGGTAGATTTTTATGGTGTTTGATGATAATTTTAAATTAAGGTGGCAAAAGGAGATACATGCCACTATGAAGTCAAGGGAGTGTGTGTCGCTAATCTGGTAATCTAAAGTGAATTTGGTATAGAGAGTGAATGCTCTATTGTAAACCTGTGATGTATTGGCAGAGAGGGCCGAACTGGCCCGATATCTGCTGTGTGCTAAGAGGCGCTCTAATCCAGGATTAGGTCTTGAAATGAGGGAGTGCTGACCGGACAGGTGTTGGCTGTTGGATGGGCTCTGAAGAAAACCTTCAAATTAGAACGAGAACGCGTCAGCGGCTGTATTGATGCGTTCTGGGATCTGTATACAAGTGATGTAAAATTGCAGTGTAGCCGCTAACCATGTCAGTCGTCAAATTAGTCTCACGATGGTAAGTGATGTGGATCTGCCCTTATTTATAATGTCACATGCTGCTTTATTGTCAGAAGCATTTTACTGCTTTTCCTTGCAATAGGCTGCCACTATAGGGTAAATTTCAAATAGGGCAGATGTCATGTGGAATGAGTGAAGACCAAAGGTCTCGACCGGCAAAGAATCTCTTAACCAGGAGTCACCAAAGATATCTGAAAACCCTGTATGGACTGCAGCATTAGTCCATATGACAGGGGAAGATTCAGAGATGGGTGGAAGTACCACTTCTCCATTCCATTGTGAAAGAAACCTAAGCCACATACGCAGGTCTGCCTTAGCGTGTGTATCTATGTTTACAGTACTATTGTCATTATTTAGAAGAGGAAGAAGTCACAGCAATCTGGAAATCCCTTCTGTTACACGTGCCCTTAGCCAGAAAACCTTCCACGACTTTCCAATGTGTCGTACCTTTTCCATAGGGAAACTGGCTTGTAACGAGATTGTGTCCAGGTGAATACCCAGGAAAGTTATGTTAGTTGTAGGGCCTACAATTATGCCCTGCGATAGTGGAATCCCTATAGCTGAGAATAGAGCCATTGTTTTGAAAATACTGGCAGGAGTGGACACTGGAGAGTCATCTAGTTAATGTATGATTGATGGACATTCGGCAATGTTGACAAGTAGCCAACATGACGTGCCGGCAAATGTAAAAAAGTTTTGGACTACGTATTGCAAAGTAGTATTTGTGTTTCCAAAGTATACCGTGCACATGCCACAGGGATGGATGAATTGGTAGGAGCTTTAATGCACAGGAACCGTCAGTTTTTCCTAACCAGGCTCCTACACCTGCCCTCAGTATGGCATGAATTCACTGTGGCGTATTGCAAGGAGAATTTCTCTGAGGGAATTAATGAGTCGATGCTAGGGGTAGACAAAGCATGTGGAGCCGATAAATCGTAAATTAGCCTCTTTTTATTGTTGAACTTCCCAGTGGCTATACCTATGGGATTGATACGCCAGCTGTAAAAGGGGGGTCTTGAGAATGGGCCTATTATGAATCAGTTGTTCAATTCTTTCATGAGCAGTACGTCTGTGCTGACGGGGTCAAGGAGGGCAGACTCTAAGTTGAGACATAAGTGAATACCAGTGGGGAGTGTGACAAGGCCAGTGTGAAAACAGTCGGTGAACCCATTAACCAGAAAGTTAACTAAGTAATGAGAAGGGTGTGCCTGGAGATAATATGCCAGATTGTCAATGCAGCCTTCGGTTAGTTATTTTTAGGTACAGACGGTTCGGACACAGTTTTTGTATGTGCCCTGAAACAAATTGAGCAGACATTAGCACAGCTAAATCTGCAACTGCCAGAATTAAAATTGTTGTAGATTTGAGCTTTCCCTAGATATACTATGGGTCTACCCAATTTGTCTTTAAGGCCTCTGTGTTCTGCAGTGGAAGAACCGAAGGAAGCACGACTAGAGGTAGGAGGGCTTGGATCCACTGGGCACAAGTTGGTGGAGTGTGAGATGGAAACAGATAAGGCTCAAGATGGTGGTTTTTGACCGGCAAAATGTCGACAGAACAATTCTGTATCAAGCCTACTCCAGTCGGTATGGCTATTAAATTGTGTGCTGCTGCTTTTGCAAAAAGTTTTATGATAGTCATAAAACGAAAAGCCACCATACTTGTGCCCTAGATCCACCAACTTATGCATGTACAAATCATACTCTTTCCTATGGTGAAGAGAAGTGGAGCAGATTACGTCACAATAAAGGCCAAAGGCAAGGACAAATTCAGGTAGGGTACGTTTTCGGTTGAGTCTGGAGTCTCTGACTTTCAAAACAACCAAAAGATCACCATAGCAGTATGCCTTGTTCTCAACTATGTCCTGAGAGGCAATGAGACTAAGTTTATGTCCTTACCTTCCAGGATGTCTTTGCGAATATTCAGGGACACGGAGTGGGCGGGCCTAATGATGTGAGTGGAAGTGCTAGGTATTGGGTTTATGGCAGTGTTATTACTGTTAGAGGGAGCTGGAGTGGGTCTCTACGGGCGGGTTGGCTGTCGCTGACTGAGGAGTTTCACACTTCTCTAGCCTACTACTGATAGTAATAATAGAGGCAAGAAGGGACGACCTTAACCCCTTGATTTCTGTGTAGTTGTCGGGATGAAGGACAACGCCCGGCTGGGGAGTACAGGTATTGGTGATAAAAAGTTTATAGAGTTCGGCCTTGCGAGCTGTAGCTGGGAAAGGGAGCACCATGCGCCGTAATTTACCGGCAGGCCTAGGGATAGTCCAGGAACGTAGGGAATATGGGCTGGATAATTCCAGATTCTCAGTAGTGGTGCTTGGACCGGCCATGGTGGAAGGCCTGGCTGGGGTCTCGGGTAAAGAGAGTTCCTAGTCTTGTTCTAGGACTTGAGACATACTAAGTGTAGCGGAGAGCTGGTCTTACACAGCCTATCTCCACTTTAGATCCCAGTAAGGCTCAGGAACAAGTATTATAAATCCACAGGGTAATATTTCCAGCAGGCAAAATACTCCAACAATATCCCAATCGCAATCCCAATGACTGGACGACACACAGCATCAGGAGCAGAACTGTGTATCCAGAGGGGAGACAGTTGGTCTCCCCCTCCCACAACCAGGCTCCTTCCGTGATAGCACTGGCACCAGGGCAGAGTCTCTGCCCACTCAGCAACCCACCAAGGCAGCCCACCAGTCCCCTGCACAGCCGTGGTGAGGCACCTGGACATGGACAAGTTTCTACTTTATCCAGATGTAGTAACCATTTATTGAGGGTGGGCTGTACTGCTGTTTGTGCTTCGTGGGTGGGTTGCTGGACTAACCAGGGCACTGACCGGCAGGAGGTCAGATACCCTGTTAGTCTGTCTGGTAAAGGGGAGAAGTGTGGTGGAACCAACCTCGCCACTGTCCACTGGAGAGGCCTGGTTGCTCACCTGCTCCCTTTAGACTATGGTCCTGCATTTTAAACTTTTATTTTACCTGCAGAAAGGTTTATTCATGCCTTTCTGCGGACTGTTAAAGCCATGCTACCCCAGATAGCTATGCCATGGAGCCCAGCCGTATACTGAAAGACTGTATGAAAGACTTTGGCTCCATGGCGATTGAACTGTATGTATGTGATCTGAGCACCATCCTGTAATAATGTGCGCTCAGATCTAAGCTATCTGGGGATAGGTAGAATGTGTATGTTCTGTGTGATAAATGTAACAGTATGTATTTTTAGGTCTTTTATTGTCCTTTGTCTGCCATGTGGCTAATGGAGTTTTGCCTCTGTCCTTTGAGATAATTGGATTACTTCCCAATTATCTCCAGGATAGAAGACTGTGTGGAACTGGTTTTGGGCAGAAAAGCCATGCTTCATTTGGTCAAATAGGACTTTCCCTTAACTTTTTAACCCCTTGATGGAATTGGCTGAATTTTGGTTATGTTTATATTTAAAGTATGCTGATTCTGAATATGTATGTTTTATGTGAATATGATGCATATTTTTAAAGTTACAGTGTATGTATAAAAAGTATATTTTTCCTGCCTGTGATAAATTACATTAACCCATTGTGTTCAGTAATTATATCACAGGCAGAGGGGAGGGATGTATGTTTGTGCTGGGTGTGTTTTACGGTTCTCCTGTAAATGATTGGTTGTACTGTGTCCCACCCTGTGGGATGTCCCCTTGCATGGGGACTTGCATAAAAGCCAGTGTGTGGCCATTACAGTGGAGTTCCTGCTTAACCCTCAAAGTGAAGTGTCGTCTCATTATTGGGGGAGGATTTATTGTATGCTGTTCCAGTTTGACTGCTAGGAGTGTAAACCTATTCGCATGGTTTTTCCTATTCGGCTGTATACAACATCCATATGCTTAAAAGTACTCATATGCTTCTCCGGTTCGGTGATTGTGGTGTCTGCCAGAGTGCTTGGAGTCCTCAGGAAAGGCTAGGAGCATCCTTTAACAGAGGTACACAGTCGGGGTGCCAGGTGATCTGTTACACTAAGAATGTAAACATGGGTAAAGAAGAGGACTTGGTTTTGAACGAGTGCCTGTGTCAACAGACTCTAGCGAAGTCTAAGGCAAAAAATGTATCTGGCCTATAATGAAGACCTGCTAGTGGCAAGTGGCGAGAGAGCAGCAGAGTGGGCAGGGGCCACAGAATGATGTGGCAGGAACTTTGGCCTCTCTGTGACAGTAACAAGATATGAGTGGGTGTAACATGGTGAGGCTCTAATTATGCGTTGGACAGAGGGGCGCATACCTCTGATGAGGATGGTTGCTGGCCTCAAGGGAGTAAATTAATTTACCGACAAGTGCAAGTAACTGTCAGTTGACCAATCCTAGCCTATGGAGGGATCGGAGTAAGATGTAAAAAGGGACGCACCTAGCTTTACGAATAGGTAAGATTCTTTACAGAGAAGGATAACTGCTTGAGAACCTTAAAAGGAAAATGTGGAAGGTTGTTGTAGTTGGCTTAATTCTTTCCCCGTATTGTGAGAAACTCACCTGTGAACTGATGACAGTGATTCGTTGGGATTTGCTAGTAGTGCATATCTGAGGATAAAACTATAGTTATCTTCTATCAATGTAGGGAAACATAACATTTACAAAAGGTGTCGTAATTCTAGGTATAATGTGTTACAAAAGACTGGAAATCACTATGTTGCTGTTTTTACTCACTGATTGATACTGTTTGCCACTGCATAAGTTAAACAGAAAACCACACGAATGGATTACACGAACCCTTAGGGAGGCTCCATTCGTGGTACGAACAGGGGACCCCCCAGAAACTGGCGTGTGCCGCCACTTAACCCCGTCACCCCGCAAACTACCGAACGGGCGACCCCCCCGGCTCGCGGAGTGTGGTAGCCATTAACCACCCAGATGGCTGCGGTTTGCGGTTAACCACAATGTAATCGTTATGCCTGGGGGCATCGACGTTCGCACCCAAAGTACCGAAGGGAAAAGACCGAACGATCCACCGAACGACGACCCCCTACAGCGGGTCGCGTGGCGCTCATTAACTGTGGTTTCTGCGGTTAACCACAGGTCAAGTACCCTGCTCCCAGGTGGTCCTCATTCCCTTACCGAACGAGCCCACTACCAGGCCGACAGCGGGACTTCGCAGGAACTGATACCGAGTTTAGTTCCACGAGTTAGACACGAAGTCCCGCTGCTCGCTAAACCAGCAGAAAACATGGCCGCCAACAAAGACTAACCATCTCATAATGCCGAACGGACTTTATACGGCAGAAACAGTACATTCTGTTCGTGGGATTAGAGCGGCATTCGCCTGGTTTATCTATACGAACGCGAGCCTTAAAATGAATGGTGGAATGAATGGTTTTCCTGTAATAATGTACAAGTTATGGATTTTTATGTAGTTTTCTGGGGCATAATAAAACGTGGTCTTTTGTGCGCTTGGAGATAATTAGATTGTAAAACCGTTGGCCTCATTATCTCCAAGCTGGGCGGGTACTACTTCAAATGATACAGTATACTGTGATTGGTTACCTGTTTGTACTGTACCTGTATTCCATCAGGTCCACAGGGGGCTGTCCTTGGACCTGAGGAATCACATAAATTGCCATGCTATGTGCCAGTAAAGCCAGTTCGTTTTGACCCTCAACTTGTAGCCTCGACTCATGTTGTAGGGATCCGGGATATTGATGTTTAGATCGTGCTTGGGGATATTCTACACTTACAGCTGATTACCGAAAGACCTCCGTTCGACTCTCTGCAGCGGGAACCAGGACATCCAAGCGATCAACCCTCCTGCTAGACCGGGGGCAATCGTAACAATTGGTGGCAGCGGCGGGATCATCCTGGAATTCCTAAAGAGAGATATCTAGGACGGATGGAGAGTAACTACGACAAACTGAAGCGTACCACGTTAAAGGATTTACTCGAGAGCCGTGGAGGGAACGCAAGTAACCGGCCGAGGAGAGAATTGATTGCCGACCTTAACGAGTTGGATCAAAGCTTCACAATGGCAGAACCAACGGCAACATGCAGCGATGAGAAGACCAGGATCGTCCGAGAAAGGCTGCCTCTGTACGGACCAAACCCATCCGTGGAGCTGATACAGCAACTAATGGCCGAAGCCGAGGCGGACGTACAGCGGACTAGAGCCCACGAGCTGAGCATGAGGACCGCTGATAGCCACAACGGCCCCCTGGAAACTACCGAACAGCCAAAGATCCCGTTCGCGGCATTCAAACCGTTCGCGGAGAATGAGATGGGGATAGACGAATTTTTGGCCGATTTTGAAAGACAATGTGCCCTGCATCAGATCCCCGTCACAGCGTGGCCGCGTATCCTGGCAGGAAAATTAACCGGGCGGGCCATGGAAGCCTTCAGAACCCTCAGCGCCGAAGAGGTAGCCCAATACACCACAGTCAAAGAGACGCTGCTGAAACGGTACGCTGTGACCCCAGACACCTACCGAAGGCAGTTCCGCAGCACGAAGAAAAAAGCGAATGATACCCATGCCGAATGGGCACATCGTATGCGGAGAGCTGCAACCCATTGGATTACCGGGTGTCGGGCCGTCACGGCCGCGGAAATATTGGAACTTTTCTTATTAGAGCATTTTTATGAGGGTCTGGAACAAAAAGACCGGGAGTGGTTGAAAGACCGGCGTCCCGCTAACCTACACGAAGCAGCCCGGTTGGCAGACGAGCACCGGGATGCGCAAGTACAGGAGTTCAACAATGCCCGAACGGTAACTCGCCCCGAAGCAAGAGAGGGATACCGATCAACTCCACGAACGGAGTTTCGCAACCCTGTACCCGCAGGTCCTACACGGTACATGGGACCACCCAGCCACTACCCTCAGGAACGCTCCCGACCCACATGTTATAAGTGCAAGCAGCCGGGGCACCTGATAGCGAGTTGCCCCCTTAACAACAATTACCCTGCACGGAACTATAATTCTTCTCCAACGGGAAACAATCGTCCAGCTCGAGCGTTTTGCCTGGAACAAGACAGTCCTCTAGAAGAATACCTGGGACCCCTACATGAAGCGAATCCTGTGTATGCCGCCAGCGACAATAGACAACACCACCGGCAAGAGGTACTACTGGAGGGGCGTCCCACACAGGGGTTAAGAGATACCGGGGCCACGATCACCTTGGTGCAAAGCCGGTTAGTCCCCGACTACAAACGCTCGCCTGACACAGTGGCTGTCCGGGTGGCTGGAGGGGACATATACAAACTACCCACGGCAAAGGTACACTTGGATTGGGGTGCGGGAAAAGGACTTGTGAGGGTGGGAATTATGGACAATTTGCCAGCCGAGGTTTTGCTGGGAAACGACCTGGGACCTATGACTTCAGCTTATGCCCCG